TTTTATTATTATTATTTTAATGTCTATTTTCTGGCACATTGCTGCCATTTAAAAAAATATATTTTATTTTTATCCGTTTATATTTTTTACAACGTGCAGTAAAAAGTGTAATATTTGCACTTCCTAGTTTAGTGAAGTATAAACAAAGTGTTCAGCAGCTGAATAAATTAGACTTCCTTTTTTTCTTTTTTAAACTCTTCATGAAATTCTTTTTTAAAAACACGGCGTCTGGAGTTTCCCTCCAACACTTAACATTCGCTTGTTAAATTTAACAAACATGAGACTAAACCGAAACTCTTGTGATTGAACTTGAACGCAACACAGACAACAAACGTGAGCTGAGCTTCACCGTCGGCCTTCACGCTCTGTGCTGTGATGCTTTAAATCTGTTTTAATCGCACCGCAGATAAACGCTGGAGTTCCTGGTGTGAACACGAACAGAAGGCATGTTCGTTTAACCTGCCTGACCGTCTGTGCTGCGTCTGATGAATCTTTGTTCCGTCGTGTTCAGACCATTTCTGTCCTTAGAGCAGAATGTAATCATCAGCGTGTCGGTCATCGAGGTCGTCTCTAATTACACAAAGACATGTAGATAAATGTACATACAGAAGAAAACAGGACTAAGTTCAGTCACCTCGTATGATAACATTAATAACTATAATCTTGTTGCTTTTATTAATATTATCCAGGCAGCTACTTTATAAATCCTTCTCACACATTATCAGATATGGAAATGCTTCTCTTTTTAATCCTAAACATCCTTTATGGAGTCCGTTTGTTTTGCAGAAATTCAAACCAGAGAAAATGTTAAAATTATTACCCAAAATCTGAAGGGGGAAAAAAAGTGCAAAATATACAATACAGAAAATATACAATGTGCAAAAATGGAGAAAATCTATGATGCAAAATGACATAACATATAACCAGTGTGCAAAAAAAAGACTTCAGATTTATGATGCATTGAAGTTGAATGAAGGTGAGAGAACAGCTTTATGCTTGTTTATTTTAATTTATACGCGTATATGTATTAATTAGTGTGTTTTTCATTGTTAACAACGTTAAAATTATTCCCTGTCTGCCTTCATAAATAGGTCAAACTCCAATTAAAAGGTTTTTTTTGCTGATATTTATTAAAAATAGGACTTTAAAAATGATCAATAATGATGAAAACGAGTGAAAATTATTGATCAGTTTTCACATTTTTGACATTTAATCATGATCAATGTGTTCGCTGCATCACCGAGCACTGATACAAACAGCACAGACAGCAGAGGAACCATCATGACTTCTGATTTTTGGAAGTTAGAGACAGAAAGTCAAGATGAGGTT